GTCATAAAATTATTGTATCGTCAGGACAATTAACACACATTTGTAGGACAACAAGCAGGTAGATATATGTACACTTTGATAAATCGACACTTCTCCGCCACTATTAAAATAACAGAGAGGAGCAATGATATAAATATATATAGCCCTATTTTGTAAAAACATAATATTATCAATAATTCATCAGTGGCCATATAAAGGATAGGATACAGAAGCAAAATTGTTCAACATGATAGAAATAATTTCTTTAAATTTTTTTTTAATTTTTCTATAAGTAATGTGGTTCCAAATTGTACAAAAGCTTATTTTCAGTTTTTCATTCTTTTACATACTTGGTCATGAAAATGATGTCGCCAAATTGAAGTCCGCGTGAAGGTAGCTAATGGAAAATTCTCTAAGCTTTAATTGTAAACGCCTCAAAAAATTGATGACAGAAATTACTTATAATGCCAATTTTATTACAATTCATTTTTAAGTACTATAGTTTTGGTAATATTTCAAAAAATATGTGTATAAGTCAGATCAGTTTTAATGCTATAAATTTTATTCACTTCATGGCTTCGAAGATCTGATGGTTATAGCAAATTGTCATTTATTCAAAATTATTAATTATTATTACTAAAGATGATCCAAAAATTTCGATAGAGCATTTGGTACTTGATTAATGAATTTGTTAAGTATTTCAATGTGCCTAGAAGTGGGGCGCATATAGGCTCATACTTTATTTCTTTATTAAGTACATAATTCGTGATTAAATCTATGAAAAACTCAATAGTCCCCATTCAAAAAAAAACATTAAAACAAATGACTGTACCAAAAATGATGTTACCATAAATAAATAAAGATTTCAATCCAATTAATGCACAATGCGTTCTCGGGAAATAAAAATGTACATATTTAATCTAAGAAGTGCCTGCAAAGAATAATCCTGCAGGAGTCACACGGTGTCAAATTCGACAGATAGTATAAAAAGCTGAGTAAGATGCGAATATTTTTAATAATATATATACAACCTTGCCTGCAACATTATAAAAGACCGCTGTTGAAAACCATTTTGTCTGCCATTTTAAAGCAAGTAAGTCGACTTTAAGTACTTACATTTTATCGAAACTACATTTAAATGAGTTTGTTGACATTTAGATAAAGTGCTTATTCTTATAATTGCCTATAAGTAAATTGGAAAGTTACTAATCAGTAATGAACTATTTGTACCATTATATAACATTATTTCCAACCAAATAAGATAGAATGAAAAAAGTGTACAGCCAAAATTATCAACGAGACCTTTAAGAAATAACTGAAGTAATTATTATTAATCAAAATAATATAAAAGTACTCTGCATCTTTTACAATAAGGTTCAATTAACAAAATCTTAACACATTTTTAATTTATTACTCAATTATGAACCTAATATTTTGTTAATTTACTTCTTATTTGGTATATTGTTATTCAAATTGCTCATATAAACACATCAAAAAAGTTTGTGATCATTGGAAAAGCTAATATATTTATAAAAATTAACTTTAGCAAGAAAAAGTGTTTACTTCTACTTATAAAACTTTAAAAAAAATTGAGTAATCTAATTCTAATGTAATTGTAACGAAAGATGGAAAGAAAAAGATTGTTTAACCTAAATTTACAATTTATTAATAGAAAGTTTTTATTTAACTTTTCCCCTGCCTCGAACACTTGCGGAAATCCTCCTGGGCATGCTAAGGGTCAAATTATCCAGCATTTTTGCGGTAACTTGTCCCATTCTTTAATAGCGGCTTCCCTGATCTCTAGAACTGTCAGGGGAGATGGCTCACGGTTCCAAACAGCTCGCTTAAGAGCATCCCACGCGTACTCTATTGGTATTAAGCTGACTTTCGTACGAGCTGGCAGGCCAGTCTAAGCTTGTGATGTCGTATTCTCGGAGAGCAACATTGCCTCTTTGAGCTCAATGTGACGATTTTCTGCCTTTCTAAACGGTTCCAGTGGCAGTTCTTGTTGTCTTCTCCATACACGGACGCGTCGGTTATTTGTACGAGTTTTGATTCGCGATTCGTCAACGAAAAGACATTTTTGCAAAATGTTCTTTCCTCATCTTCTTCACTTTGTAAGAGCCTAGCCCATTGCAATCTCCGTCACTGACGTTGCCGTGAATTGCAGACGTGCTCGCCAAGACCTCTGTGCTCGTAGTTTAGCCTGGGGTAAGCAATTCTGAATGGTCACATCTAGTCCAGAAGCGGCCCGCACTTTTGATTTTATTGTAGTGGCGTGGATTGTTAGGTCTGAGCAGCAGTCAGAAGAGTTGGGTGACCACTGCGGGGTTAGTCAACTATATTATATTTGTGAGCGAAGCGCATGGTAGTTTAAGGTGGCTAGAGCATGTTGCGGTCACGACCGCGGCGAGCGCGTTACTTTCTGCATGTGTTCTTTACGACCCGTACTGGTCCGATCACTTTCCTGTATTGATGGAATGTAATTTCAATATTGTAACACCAAAATTAGCTCAGTCGAATAATTGTATTAACAAAATCATATGGGGAGAGCGTGATAATGTTGATAAATATTACAATGAATGTAACTCCAGGTTAAAATTAATAGATTTGCAGCAGAATTTTCGGATTGTTGCGATAGTATGTGTAGTAACCATCAACACAAAATAGCGCTTGACAGATTGTATGAACATATTGTGTGTATACTTTCGGAGGCCGCTATCTGTAGTTATAGTGTTAGGACGGGGCGAAAAGGTAAATACTTACCTGGTTTTAACAAGCACGTTCGCGAGGCACATAGGAGGGCTCGACGTTGTTTTCAAAGTTGGTCACTACATGGCAGACCAGGCTCTGGTCACGCGTATAATGAAATGTGTGAATCGAGACGCATTTTTAAAGCTAAAATTAAAATGGTATCAAAATAATCAGACACAAATAAAATGGACATAATAGCTAAACACCACAAAAGAAAGAACTTCGGTCAGTTTTGGAAAGCCACCAATAAAATGAATCATAACTTGAGCCTTCCCGTGAGTGTTTCGGGAGCTTGTGATCCTAGTGATATTGCTAATGTGTTCAGAGAATACTTTAGAGTGGAATCACCACTGGGACCGGCAGAGCCGCTGGTGTCTGATGCTGAGGCAGGTAGTCTGAAGCGTAGTGTATTTTTTACCGCCAAAGATGTAGCTAAAGTCATTAAGTGCATGGTGAGGGGCAAGTCGCCTGGGCATGACCACCTCAGCATTGAACACCTGCAGCATGCTGGAGTTCATTTGCCAAGGGTTTTGTCTTTGTTGTTTAATTTGTGTATTGGGCATTCATATCTCCCTGACAAAGTGATGCGGCTCAGGGGCTCAAATATAATGCTGTTAAGAGCGAATTCATGATGTTCAATCCGGACCACAAGCGATACACTAATGTGCCACTTTTTAAGCTCTGTGGAACCCCTTTGAAAAAAATTGAGACCTTTAAGTACCTGTGCCACTGGATCACAGATGACCTGAAAGACAACCAGGATATTGAGAGGGAGCGGAGGTCGCTGTCTGTCCGCTGTAATATGTTGGCCCGCAGATTTGCTAAATGTACTGACGAAGCAAAGATTACGCTTTTCAAGGCTTACTGTCAGTCATTTTATACGTGCAGTCTGTGGGTTAACTTTACGCAGAGGATATACAGTGAGCTTCGTGTACAATACAATAACGCATTACGGGTATTGATGGGGCTGCCGCGTTTCTGTAGCGCTTCTGCTATGTTTGCAGAGGCTCACGTAGATGGTTTCACCGCCATAATGCGTAAACGTTGCGCTTCACACCTTAGGCGCATTCGCGACAACCCCAACAGTATCTTGTGTACTTTGGCAGACCATTGGGACTCGCCGATGCTTGCTCGATGGATACGGCTGCACCCAGTCAAGTAGTCATCTTGCGGGCCGGGCCGGGTGCCATATTTGTTTGCGTGGTTTTTCTGTTTGTCCTTGTTTTATGTTATATGTGTTATGTTTCAATAGTCAATTACTAACATTAGTTATAAGCTCTAAAAATTGTTACTAACCTATATGTATCATGATGTCCGAAATAAACGTTTATTATTATTATTATTATAGGGGTATCTGTATAGTTTTCTCATCTGGTTGGTTTCTATAAATATATAATTATAAATTAAAATGAAAAGATAAATATACATAAATATCAATAAAATAAAATAAATACAAAAAATTCACAAGTAAATAAAGATCCAACCAGATGGAAGCCCTCGTCAGAGGAGACAAACGGCCGAGGGTTAGTTTATTATTATTATTATTATATTATCCATACCGTGGTACCTACCTCTGCAACGTGGCCACGACACAGGATTGGACGCAACTCTGTGTGGTATTTCTCTCGTAGAATATCCCTCAAAAGGGAAGAAGGATATTCCTACGAGAGAATTACAATTCTTGCTCGTAAAAATTCTGACAATCCTCGTGGCATGTTCTGAGTCACAACTTTCTTCGAAAAAATATTTTAAATCCGTTAAAATTGACTGAGTCAGATTTCTGAATGAGCGTAATCTAGAAAAACAATTGAATTAAATTTTTTGTTTTGTATTCTAATTCTATATACTAAAAAGATGAAGAAATTGCAATACACTACCTACCGTAACAAAAAAGATTTCGATTTTTCAAATTGATCGCAAACTTTTTTCGATGCTTAATTAAATTTAAGATTTAAGCGATGATTTGAGTAAACTTTAGCCTTTAAATGTTGTTTTGTATGATATCGGCTGTTACCAAGCAAAACAGTACTATTGTAGTACAGGGCACTTGATAACTGTCCAAATATTTATTATTTTGTGAGATTTGAGTTATTTCTTGGTGATAAGCTCTTACAAAATATTTAAATACCTAGAGTTCGCAGCAATATGATGTAAACGGACACGGACTGTCAAAACATAAGGTTCTTTCGAAAGCAATCTAGGTTACCTTTGTTTACAGGATTAATCGAGTGTTGAAAATGAAGTGCATACTGTTGTTGTCATTATTTATGGCTGTGACGGCGTGTTACGCTACTGAAACTTACACTACTGAGAATGATGACATAGATATTGAAGCTGTCGTCAATAACTTGGACACACTCAAATCTTACATGGACTGTTTTCTAGATAAGAAAACTTGTGATGCAGTGCCAGGTGATTTCAAAAGTAAGCGGTGTATCTTTCTACCATTCTTATATGATTCCTAGAAATGGTACAAAATTGTAGGCCACATTATCACAGTAACTACCATGATTTTATTAATATTATATATATATATATATATATATATATATATATATATATATATATATTTTGTCTACAAGTCTACTATTGAATATGTAGTATATATAAAACAGTAGACTTGAATGATAATTTATAACGAAAAACTTCTAACTTCTGTAAAACAAATATTTTTTTGATTTATTTAACAAGCGAGTGTGCTTACATCTGGTAGTAAATGATTACCCTGTTACATTGACAACTAGTATGTTATTATATATTATGTTATGATAAATTATAAAATAGGTATCCTCGTGACTATCAGCAGTAAGATCGACTGGGCCACACTTTGCTTGGTCGTATGTAATGCGGACAGCAATGGAGTGGACTGCTTGCAAGCTTTTGGCTTTCTAACCGATAACAATTTGGGTTTCTTCAAGACAAGAGTAAATTTTTAGAGCTCTTGACTTTAATTCTTGTACTATTATTTATTCTGTGACTTTAGCCGATGTTGGAAAGAGTGTTTTACAATCTTCTATTAAATTACCACTTATCATCTATAGGAGTAGAAGTCGAGCACTGACATATAATAGTTTAAAAACTGTTTGGTGTAAAAAAGTAATGTAGTAACTTTTACTTTAATAACATAATCTTCTTCTTCTTCTTCTGATATATAAAAATCATTTGCTCTCCGTTAGTCTCACTAAAACTCGAAAACGTCCCGAACGATTTCGATGAACGTTTTGGTGTGTATTTGAGTGGGTTCCTTGATGGTTTAAGAACTCAAATGGACCCATTATGTGGCACTGTTGTCGATATCCAGAAATCGGAGATCGAAGGATGGCTAAAATGTTATTATTACATAACATTTAATAATTTAATTTTTTATTATTTCAACTGTAATCGGTAACAGGAATATTATGCTCCTGTCCTTTTTCGGTTTCACTATCGCTCTATCGCTTCTTACTACACCCACGCGATGAATTTGGGCAAGAATTGTATATACTTACGCCGCCAATAAACAATGAAACTCTATAAATACAGTTATTTTACAATAAATAACTTTATAATAATCACTAATTGCAACTAATAGTTTTATCCATTCAAAATTAAAAGTATTATATATATAAATAAAAGTTTTATACGTAGTCGAGCCACGCAGCAGCTGCTGGTTGTAGCACGAATGGGTCGGCTCGAACAGGGAAATAACCACGCTCTCACAGAATACCAGCGTAAAATAGGAGCCTAATACTGCTGTATTTCGTCTGTCGAGTGTAGCGATCCGGAGACCCTTTTTTACTGGAAACGAGGCATTCCATCTTAGTCTTTAGGGGTGACAACGCATCTGCATTGTTGATCCTTAATCAAGGATAAATGTGGATGTCTGTGTGCCACAGCATCCACTTAACATCGGGTGGTTGTTAAGTGGATGCTGTGTTTATCACTCGTATTCTAAAAATATCGCACATATTATATTTGTTTTGTCACGACCATGGTTCGTAGCTGCTAAGACCGAGGAAGTTATTACTTATTACCAATCCTATACATATTTTAGGTTTAGTTTTAACAATGAAATTGCAAAATCAGGATTTGATATGTGGTGCTGCGTGTGTAGAGTTATATGTTTATATATGTATTTACAGTAAGAAAGGTTCTTAGTGAATTCGAAGTGAAATTCATCGCGCCACGAACCGAAAAGACTTATATAAAATGAATAAAACTTCAAATAGCAATAATTAATAAGCCTACTACCTTCCCAGATTATATAACCGAGATAATATTATAGAATACTTTGCACTAGTTATTGAACAGTGCTTACTTTTTTTTTAAACGTTACCCCTACACTAGGATTTTCTCCTGTATCGTGGGGGCAGTTTACAAACATAAATTGCACAAGGACAAACATCCAGACCCGGAACAGTTATTTGTAGGCCATACAAATACTTGTTCCGTGCGGGATTCGAACCCGCGAATCTCAGCGCAACCAATTTAGTGATTTTTATGCACGTCTAAGTTACTCATTTTTGCTATAAGCTAACGTTCATTTGTAATAGGACGATGGGTTCATATTTATAAAACATAAAGTACATATTAGATTAATATTCATGTCAATTTTTTTTTCACAGAGGACTTACCTGAGGCTTTTGAACAAGCTTGCGCAAAGTGCACAGCAGCGCAGAAACATATCTTTAGAAGATATCTAGAAGTTGCAGGAGAAAAGTTGCCAGAAGATTTAAACGCTCTAAAGAAGAAATACGACCCTGAATCAAAATACTTTGCTCCACTTCAAGCGGCGATTGCGAATTCTTAAATTTAATTAATTACTAAACTCTCAAATAATTTTGTACTATGCTAATCTAATTGTGACAACTTCACTCCTAATGTAAAAGACGTATAATAAAAGTGTTTATTATCTTTTTTATCAAACAGTGTTGTCTCCAATTATGTCCTTATAACCTAAGTAAAGTTAAAGAGTGGTGATAATTACTTAGCATATACATATAATTTAAAGCAGATTAATGTAAAAAAATTCCTTCAACAGTTCTCATGTTCTGAGTTCTCTCAGTACTTCAATACTTTGAGTAATTCTTTGTTAAAAAAATTATCTATTCAAAAAAGGTTCGTCTTAATCAATCTGTTCTCCGCTCTGGTGGTTTGCGTAATAAATATGACTTTATTATAGCAATTTTCACCGAGTAAATTTAAACTCTTTTGGGAGCTTCATAAGATCTATTATCCAATCTCATCCAATGTATATTGTTTTCGCTTTTTGCAAAAGATTTACTCATTCTTGCAATGCTGCATTGCAGGTTATTGAGTACTCGTACAAAAATGATTAAAAATACCGTACTGAAATCTTACCAATTATTGAAGATTTGCCGACTTTGTTGTCTGTCTATGTTTTAAAAAGTGCTGTTAGCCATTTGGCTTAATTTACAATTTCTCCTTATTGAAGGCACGCGATCTATCTACATTGCCGCGAACTAATTATTGTCTGTGTTTGTAATATTTCGTATTTCTCATTTTTTAATAGAATAAGGGTGAAAACAAGCACACCTGATGGTAAGTGGATGTTGTGGCCCATAGACATTTATCTTCGATTAAGAATCGAAACGCAAATGCGTTGTCGCCCCCGTGGACTAAGATGGAATGACTCGTTTCCTGTAAAAAAGGGCCTCCGAATCTCTACACTCACCATACGAAACACTAATATTAAGCTGCTATTTTACGCTGTTATTCTGTGAGAGCGTGGTCCTTCCCCGGTCGAGCCGACCCGTTCGTGCTACACCATAATATAGCTGCAGCGTGGCTCTACCACTTAAACACGTTGTTTAAAGATAGTTACAGTTCTTAATGAACTGTAATAGCCATTTACCATCGGGTGGACTGTATTAAATAAAACTGGTTTTGATGGATTTTATCGCGTATATTAACTTATTTTATATTCCTGAGGTTTCGAGTACTTTCGAGCACCCATGGTCACAGGGGGGGGGGGGGGGTGAGGTGTTCGACTTCCCAATGTCATAGTTAACCGTGGCTACCTCCAGATTAAAATTATTAATTTTTGTTCCGATCTACGCTGTACGAACTTAAATTATCTTGAAGTATTGCAGTTATATGATTCGGTTGCGGTTTGATTTTCTTAATTATAGGATTCCAAGTAGATGGTAGCACCCAGCCATCTTCTCTATTGAAATAAGAATGTTTTTTGATTTCAATAGCCTCGCGACACATCCCTCGAGAATTGGTATTCTTTAGCGAGGATTTGTGATCTATCAAATAAAATGTAGGCACGGGGCCGATCCTGTACGTGTTCACAGACTGCAGACTTCTCGCAGCATCGATTCTTCACATCAGCTATGTATTATCTAACGCTGGTTAGTTTTATTTAAATGTGTAGTGTTCGCATAAATATATATTAAGTTAGTTTTCCACGATATTTATTTAGCGCCTCTTGTAATACATCTAAATTTAAAAATTAGAAAAGCAACCACGACTCACCAGTTATTCTGTTACTTCGTTTTAAAAGAGTGGTTCTTAAGCGTTTTAAATATGAACAAAGGAAAGTCATATTTGCAACTAAAAATAATGTAATATGTTTCAAATATTGGTTCACCAGAAGAGGTACCCACTGCCCCCCTGCTCCCCATTTCTCTATTCGAAGTATAGGTTACACCAGGAGATCGGATTAAAGATAAAAATGTTCCAAACTTGAAAAAGTCATTATCTTCAATATGGATAAATATCGGATTCGTGAATCGCCTACTAGTTGCCTACTAGTTCATCTCAGTCAAGACACTGTTGTCTATTGTCGATCTCAATATTACAAAACTGACATAAATAAATTCGGAAATACCTCAGTCTATCGGAGGCCATATTTTGTGCCATGAGTTCTATATGGCAACACACCCATGAAATTACAAGATTCTCTTACACCGTCGCACCTCAACACATTAATTTAAGCGCCTGATGAAATTATTAGATCAATTTATTCTTTTAATAATTTTAGGACAAAAGAAAAAGATCCTGATAGTACGGGGATTAAACGACCCACATTTTTTGATATTCGAATAAACTGAGTCGTCATAATTCGTCATCGTCATCATCATCACCATATTTAAATAAACTGATCATCGGTAGTTATATTTTACATTTGTTTGCAAGCATTAAACCTCATTCTATTGTTATGAGTTACGACTTACAAATATTAACAACAATAAATTAAGTTTGCCACGACTGTATAAATGAACATATGACTCATAATAATTATTTTATATGAAGTCTTTGCCATCCTCATTAGGTAATGCTTATTAGGAATTGTAAATGGACACTTATTATAGAAGATTTTTAAATATTTTAATGACAGTAAATGCTTGTTGAATGTAGTATCTGTAGAATTAATTGTTTTTTGTTTTAGAGTTAAGTAAAATTTTTGATATTTTAGTTCATAAAGAAGGAATTCACCTACCAATACGAATAAAAACTTTATGTTGTATCTCAGCTATTTTACTAGTATTAGACTGGTCAACAATAATGAAAAAAATTCTAAGTCCTATTTTTCCTACTTAAAAATCCCTGAGCCCAAAAGGTTCTAAGTTCAAAAATATGTTTAGATTAACAGATGTTATTTTTAAAGAACTCCCTAAACGTTATTCTTTGACAACCTTTTACAATATCCCTTCAAGGAATAAAATAAAAGTTTATGTGCAAAAATTCCAAAACAGAATAAAACACTTCGGGACTTCCTGAACTGGGCCATTCAATCACGAGTAGGTTTATTTTATACAGCCTTATTTTATTTAGGAACATAAAGTTTAAAATCTTTTTGCGCAGTTTTAAAGAAATAAAGTTATGAATTTTTCTTCTATCCTCGACTTAATCATGTACGCTCATCTCGAACAACGGCCATGTTGTTTGTCATTTTCCTGTAGCTATATAAAGCCGTAAAATAACGGAGCTAATAATATGAAGGTTCCATTAAATTTTATTGTTTTTGTTAATCATTTGTGAGTTGACTTTAAAAATATTTAATTTTTATGAGAATGATAAATTATTGTTATTTGAGATGCGCTTATTACCATATAATAATATATTTATATTATCACAAAGCTGGTAGTTTAGGACCGTACTTGTGGCATTTCTTAGGGAAGGCCTATGATCACCAGTGGGCTTGCGAAGGGCTATAATAATGACGATATGATGATGACACATTATGAATTTTATATAAAACTGTAAACTTTTACTATTACTGTCAAAATATGAGCTGCCATCCTCATCCAAAATATACCTTACATCCCCATCGGTTGTCGGTTCTTCGGGTGCCATTGCTCCCGAAGTTCTCCAGTTTACTAATACATTGGGAAATTTCGAATACTTCAGGTCTCATATAAGTTTGATTTCCACCCGTATGAGTGGCTTAAGAGAGAATGAAATGTTTAATGGAACTATTTAGACGACTTAGTCTCTTAAAGTTAGCTTCGATCAAATAGAATATTGAACTAAACTTTACTACTACTTTACTAACTTTTAACAAAATTTAAAGCCGGGTTCAAACATTTTAAAAATAAAACAATTTTATATTCTAAAGTCAAAGTAAATTCTTCTATTTAAAGTTACGTTGTGCACGAAATGGTACAACGTTCGTCGAATCACGATCCCAAAAAATCAAAAAAAAAAGGTTTTGGCATGCTCTGATCACGAATCTCTCCGTTTTTACATAAAATGCACGGTTCCGGAGATGTGCAGATCAATTAACCAATATCTAATTGATATCCGGTGAGGGCCTCCACCGTCATTAGCGTCCCATTGTTCTTAACTATTTATCTATTGTTCATTGAATACCGTCATTGTCTATTCTTCCTCGGCGTGTACGTCAGCTTATCAGTGCTATTCTATTATATTTCTTTGTTCCTAACTACAACGCTAATCTGAATCATCAATAAAACACATTACCCAATTTTGTTACAATTTTTATTTACAAAATACAAAATCTTATTACTTCTTATCTATAAAATAGGAGCGAAACATCTCATCTACTAAAATATCGTTGTACAATGTGTTCCCTGTAAATATACTCGTAAAACTATGCATTGAACATTCCTGAAACTTATATAGCAAATACATTAAGAAATATTCGCCACAAACCGAAGTCCACTCATTCTGAATCCTATCAACATTCCAGTTCCACTACACCTAGATGATATTGTACAGGTGATCGTCCATATGAATCAAAATATTGACCGACATCATTCGTATCGATATATAAAGCTACCCAATGTGACCCTGGTTTATCATCTGCATCCAAATTGCATATTATATACGTTGGTACCTGGGTATACATGGGGAGTCTATTAGCAGCACATTATTTTCTAGACTGGGGTGAATCTTTTTCAGATGTTGTCGTACATAAAGTGTATCCATGATATTACTGCTATTAGTAGATTATTACAGTACCAATCTACTCAATGACTAACATAGGAATGATCAATTACAGTGATTTCTAAATATTAAATAATATAAAAATCGTATTTGAGTCATCGATATATCGAACAAGATGCAACACGAAGGAATGTTGGGATATGCAAAAGAATGTGAGATAAGCTTTTTGACGCATAAAGCTACTATCAGTTTCACTGCAGAAATTCTTCAGATTAGAATTATTACTTACTGGTGCTATATAAGACCGAGCAGTTGCAGTCATGGAGTGTATGGTCGTTTGACCGTAGTGGATCTATCAATACTACATTTGTGTTACTTCAACGCATCAAAGGCCATGGATGTGTTTATTCTATTGACAAACTTACTTTTCTTTCTGTTATTTTCTTACGTGTGTATGATTTAGTGTTAACAAATTATATTTAAATATTGTGTGTGTGTGTGTGTGTGTATATGATTAAGCCGTGGTAGCTCAGATGGTTAGCGCAAGCTGTAAATTTCACAGTACGTGACCTGGGTTCGGTCCCCGCCGGCACTAATTAAATTGTTAATTGCAATTTTAAGTGTTGATTTACCCCGTGCTCGAGTGTAGGAAATCATCGTGAGGAAACCTGTATCTCTGAGAAAATTTCGAAGGCATGTAAAGTTCGCCAACACGCATTGAGGCAGTGCGGCGGACATTTCCTAGCCCTGAATACAAAGACAATAAAAGAAAATGACATTCATTAGATGATCATTAGTGAGTGTGATTCTGTTACTTAAATTACAAGAAGACAAGAGCAGAAGGAAGAGATGGGATGATAGGAAGTTTTTTAATTAGAGAATTAGCCCTGAGACAAGATGAAGCTGTAAGAGTCGCATAGACTAACAGCACTAACATCTAGATAATAGAGATGGGAAGTAATGAAGCATTGTTATGTGAAGTTTGCTGGAACAAACATATTTTTAGTCACGTGTAAATACTTTTTTTGGTTGAACTTTTTGGTTCAAAATGACACAAAATCTGAAAAATATTAGAAACATCATCGACATGGACGGATTTTACATTACATATCCTTATAAACATTTTCAATGTAGAGAAATGGCTATTCTAGACGTAAAACTATCTAATAAAAATTATGCGTTTATCGATCATTATTTATTTCGGCTAGGGCATGGAATACCGGAATGATTTTCATACCGGTATTGCTACCGGTATTGAAATTACATTAACCGGTATACCGAAATTTCGGTATTATTTCGGTATTTTTAAATACTGCTAATAACTATTTAAATGATTCCAATAACCGTTGGTAAATCTTGTTTGTGGAGAGCAATTAAAGCAATTTCCTATGCTATATGGCAGAAACACTGAAACTTTTTATCAACTTCCTAGAGTCCACAAAATGAGATAAAATAAAGGTAATTAAGAATAAAAAAGAAAACACGTTATTTGATCCAACAATTGTTTTTATATTGTTTCATTGGCACAAATATCACAATCGGTAATAAAATCAGCCAGTATCTAATGATAAGAAAACATTTAACAATTTTAAATATCTTTGTTAGTCACAGTATGAACTACGAATATGAACTATTGTTAAAACAAAATCAAATTGCAAATGAAAGTATCGAAAGTAATTATTCCAAAATAAATCAAAATGTAGGCGCAGGCTTAATTTAACTCAAGTATTCAAGTCTTTTAATCAGGCAAATAGCGTTTGTTGCAAAATCGAACGAAGAAAACACAACGCGTCCAAACTGGCGTCGTTGAGCGATGATCTTATATTTTTACAAATGTAACTTGTAGCTGAAAAGATCTTTTCTGATTCAACGCTCGTGGGAGGAATACTTAAGAATTAATTGTAAGCTGCGTCCGAAAACCTACCTCCCGTACCTCCATTTTGATACAATGTCATTTCAATTCGAATTAATGTTTGAATGTTATCTTCTTCTTCCTCGCCGATCTGGGATCTGTTTTGCTTTTTGGTCGTAGATTTTTCTATTGCTTTATTAAGTTCCTTCCCCATCACAGAACAGTACCTGTATCATCTTCACTTGTTTCCTTTTCACCAGAAGCAGAAGCGGCAGTAGATGAGCTCATCGCACTCCTGTTTTGTAGAGAGTTGAGAGTCTGTTCTTGCAATCGATGAATATGTTCAGTAATTGAAGTAATCATTTCATCACAACTCATTCTAGGAAACTCTGGATGGTTATCTCGGCGTGTCTCTGCAATTTCTTTGAAATATTCTTCCGGGTTATGAAGATACTGTAAAATTGCAGTCATAGGTTGTCGTATTTCCGATATGCGCTTTCTTAGAGCTTCCGCCAGAGATTTAGATAAACTTATTTTTTGGTTATTTAATTTTCGTAGCATATATCTAAGGGCAGCTTCTGCAGTTAAAAGTGTCGCATCTCGTCGGCAAAGTGCTTTCACTGTCATCTTGACTATTTTCGGGCTCTTTTGAACGGAATGCAGCAATTCAAACTCTTCTTGGGAGAACTTGACAGCAGAGTTTAAGTTTATCAGAGTATTTTCAATGCACGTCTTCAGTCGGTAAGTAGCCGGCAAAGATCAGCGACGATATGCATACAGTGTCTTACGTAGTTGATTTTGAGTTTATTTTTCTACAATCCAGATTATTCGTGATTGATGTCATATAAAAACTGAACGTATGAACTGTAGAAATCGAGCGTTCTGTAGTTTTTAAACAACCTTGCAAAAATAGATCACTTATTATGAAATACCGAAATACCGTTATTTTAACCTCAAATACCGGTCTTAAAAGTACCGAAAATTTTACCGGTATACCGGTATACTGGTATACCAGTATTCATGCCCTAGTTTCGGCCAAGTTATCCTTTCAATTATTTGTTGCCAAAAGACAAAAAAACTGTTCGTTATTGCGAAACACACGTGCACGGCTTTCCATGTTTTGACGTGACCGAAGAATCAAAATGTGCTTACAAACAAGACAACATCATTCCTATATTAAATTGGTATATTAGGAATTTACGCAAAGACGAAGTGATCGCATACAAAGTTGGTTCAGCAGAAAAACAATTTTTAAAAATGTTGACGACGAATGATAAAATTTTTAATATTGAAGAATACAAATGTCCAAAATACAATGATTTGGTAAATGTCATAAATTTAAACAAACGTTATGTGTGTAATAATCATATATTTGCAAAAAATAATCACAAAATTTTACATTGTTCTTGTGACGAAGTGTGGGTTTTTTTACAAGTGGTTATTGCTTGAAAATAAAATTTTCAATTAATCATAAATTTTGTTTGATTTCCCAAAAACATTAGTTATAGTACACAATATATATTAATTTTTTACACCAACACTTTCATTTTTTATTTCACCCCTTAGAACTTTAGACGTGTGTAATGTTTCACTTTATACATCCATTTACTGCTATTGTGGCAGGACCAAGTGGATGTGGGAAGTCAAATTTTGTAACAAATTTCATAAAATCAATTACAGAAATATGTAATTGTAATTTTAATCAGATCACATGGTGCTTTGATGATATGCAACCTTTATATAATTTACCAAATGTTAACTATCATCAAGGAATTCCAAAACTTAATATGTTGATGGTGAAATCCCACATGTTGTTATTATTGATGATCTTATGAGAGAGTCAAATGGAACAATTGTGGATATATTTACAAAAGTTAGTCATCACAGTTAACTTAGTGTATTTTATTTAACACAAAATTTATTTCATCAGGGTAAAGGGCAAAGAGACATATCTTTAAACTCAAGTTATATAATATATTTTAAAAACCCTCGAGATAAAACTATAAGAAGATATTTAGCACGACAAGTGTCATTAATTCATTGAAGATGCCTACAGGGATGCAAGGTAGAGGTAGATTTAAAACAGAATACCAATGATTTTTGTCGTATCAAGACAAATGTCTTCCCATTTAATGGTTTCTGTACAGTCTATGTCCCCACAAAAGAGTTTAAATACACCAAGAATCAAACAATTCAAATCATTGCTAAATGATGCATCGTCGACTCACAACGCATAAACATTTGCTAAACGCTTTGCATACGCTTAAACCAAAATATCAAAGAGCATTACTTAAAACGTGTGATGAAGAAGAAATTTACTGTATTTGTGAGTGTATACGTTTTACAAGGAAAAGTACCTCTTAAAGTTCAAGATAAACAAAAATTTTATAAACATAAAAATATACTCCGTAAACTAGTGCGTATAAACTAAGAAAAACTATAATTATACAAAAAGGAGTGGACTAGCCAGTTAACATGGAAAATGCAAAGAAAATGATAGTTATCGAACCTGGATTGATTGAAAAATTAAAACAAGAAAATAAAAATCCGTAACATTATCACCCAAATTAAGTTTACAACTAGGTTATGAACCAAATAAAAATCTCCTAGGGAGAAATTTTGGAAAGTGTCCTGCTAATTTACACTTAGGGTTACCATCTCAACTATTTCTATATTGCGACATTATCGATCCTCAGATTGTGGGTGATGTTATGACTCCTTTACTAAGAGTCATTTCATTAAATCCTACAAAATACATTTATGGTGCAAATAAAATGCACGTTTTCTCTCAACCTCACTACTTACCTGTTATGCGAAGAGAGTTCGATACGCTGGAAATAGTTATAAGATCGAGCACAGGACAAAAATACCATTCCAGTTTGGAACCGTGTGTATTAAACTACATTTCCGAAAATTATAATAATGAATTCTCTTCGATCGTCAGGAGTTGGAGTAATTTATAAAGGGTTCAACATACCAACGCGGTCATGGTATTGGAAGCTTCTCAGTGGGGTTATTTAGATCAGTTTTACCTTTACTTTCAATTGGTGCTCGAGTGATTGGTAAGGAGGCATTAAGCGCTGGAGTAGGACTTTTATTGGATATAGTTCAAGCGCGTCCTATGGAAGCCTCAATAAAAGATCGTCTAAAGCAAGTTAATACGAATTTAAAACGAAAAGCTGATGAGAAAATTGATCAATTTAACATGACAGGATCTGGGTATAAAACTAAAAGAAAGCGATTGACCTCCTTCATTCCACCATTAACTGCTAAAGTGAAAGCTGCGAAAAAACTTGGTCTAAAACCAAAAAGTATCAAAGATATATTTTCAAATTAAATATGTCTTTCCTTCATAATCATTCTTGCGAGTGCGTTCAAAATTGGATTTGTTTGCACTACCGTCTACACAAACTAGCATTGAAAACGGATTGTGGATTAATTATAAACCAATTTCATCTCTTGGTGATGATGGACCTATCGAGTTTCAAGTTCCTGGGACAGGTGATGACTACATAAATTTGTCTCATACATTACTCCACATAAAGGCAAAAGTATTAAATCATGATTCAACTAACTTGATATCTACTACAATAGTAGCACCTGTAAATAATTGGCTGCATTCACTTTTTAGTGAACTTGATGTTTATTTAAACCAAAAACTTGTATCACCACCTAATAATACCTATGCATATCGAGCATACATGGAAACCCTTTTAAACTATGCTCCTGCTGCTAAAAAATCTCTTCTTACCTGTAGTCTTTGGTATGAGGATACAGCAGGAATGGATTCTACAGATGGTAAAAACATCGGATTTGTTAAAAGACAGGAATTGATTAGTGAAAGTAAGGAAATAGAAGTGATTAGTTATCTTCATTGTGACATTTTCAAGCAAGATAAATTTTTAATGAATGGTGTTGAAATGAGTATTAAATCGCTTCGATCACGAGAGAGTTTTAATTTAATTGCTGGGTCAAACGATGTAAAGTTTAAAGTTTGCATTACGGACGCAACTCTTATTGTTCGACGAGCACGAATTAATGTAGTTTGTGTGTGTGTATTTCTCGCACATCAAAAAGTTTTAGCGTTTTAGCTTCTACCACCGCTAAATATCCTACTAATCGAGCTTAAGTAAAAGTTTTAACAATTCCATCGGGTGTTCAAGGAAAAACTCTTGATAATATATATTTAGGATAGGCTTGGCGAGGGGTTGCCAACCCGCTCGCCAAGCGTGGCAACTATGGCAAATATCCCCCCATTGAATAACGACGCAAACAGACGGCCCCCAGTCCCCGGCGGCCCCGCTATTCCTGGCTACGGTGGCGACCATGGTAACGGCGGGGCAGGGGGTGCTAAGAATCTCCAGTGGAGGTTCGGTTGCCACCTACGACGACTCGACCTGGCAACATATTACGCAAGCACCCTAAGGACTGACGAGAAGATACTGGAGCTGGAAGAAGAGGTAGACAAGTTGCGCTGGCATATTATTGGATTATCCGAGGTCCGAAGAGAGGGGGAGGACACGGCAATCCTCGAGTCCGGCAACTTGTTCTATCACCGGGAGGGCGACCATCTGTCCCAAGGAGGTGTCGGATTTATCGTCCACAAGTCTCTCGTCAACAACGTTGTAAAGATTGGGAGTGTGTCGACGAGGGTCGCGTACCTGATACTCAGAATCACCAAACGGTATTCGCTGAAGGTCATACAGGTTTACGCACCAACCTCGGCACATCCCGATGAGGAGGTGGAGGAAATGTATGAGGATATTTCCAGAGCCATGCATTCCTCCAAAACCACACTTATGGGAGACACGCAAAACTAGGCACAAGAGAAAGCGGTGAGCTGAAGGTAGGGAAATTTGGAGTAGGGCAACGGAAACGAAGGGGCCAGCAGCTGGCCGACTTTATGGAGAAAGAGGGACTCTTTATGATGAACTCTTTCTTCCAGAAGCGGCCCCACAGGAAGTGGACCTGGTCGAGCGCCGACGTTCGACAAAAAATGAGATTGACTTCATTGTGACGACCAGACGCCAACTGTTCAGTGGTTTCTCAGAGATCGCAAGGGTGAAAACTGGCAGCGATCACCGAATGGTTAGAGGCACACTGAACCTAAACGTTAAGTTGTAGAGATCTCGTCTAATGAAGTCAACGCTCCGTCCCCCTCGTGCTCTAATCCAGAATCCCGAAACCTTTCAGCTCGAGTTACGTAACCGCTTTCAGTGCCTAGAAGATTGCAATGCAGTGGACGATATGAATGACAAGCTCGTGGAAACTGTCCATGCGGTTGGAGCTAAGTTCTGCAAGACTCGCCGCAGAAGCACACAAAAACTCTCCGATCACACTCTTAATCTCATTGCTATTAGACGGGAGATGGATTTGTGAACAATTCTGCATTTAATGGTTCCCTTACTAAAAATCCATTTAACTTTGAAAACTTTGGTATTAATTCTTTCAGCTTATATATTGATGGTCAACAAATACCTTCAAAAGCTTTGCAACTATCTTTTAATAATAGTATACATCAGCATATCATACTCTATTCTCGGGCAGAAAATGGAATGTACCAATTTAATATGAGAATGATGTTCTCTTTTTTGTAGGCACATTTTAATTCTTCGGTCACGTCAAAA